TGTTACTGGTTTTCTAAAAAGTTCAATGGACTCAATGGGCAAAAGATGCATTACTGGTTCTCAGTAATAGATAGATAGATAGATAGATAGATAGATAGATAGATAGATAGATAGATAGATAGATAGATAGATAGAGTGAGTGAGTGAGTGAGTGAGAGAGTGAGAGAGAGAGAGGTGGACAGATAGATATGTATATATGTATTCTCCTTAAAAAACTTCTGTCAAATGTTAGAAGAAAAAGGAAAGGAGTCAAAACACAGATGTATGTTTTGAAATTTAAGGACTTCCTGAGAGTACATAAATGTCTTGGACACAAACATATAAAGGAATCAGCAGGGAAATCTGCAGCAGGCGCTCTCAGAGAAAGGAGAAGAGCCCCTCCTCCAAAAAAAAAAAAGAGAGAGGAGCAAAAGTTCACCTTTATTATATCAATAAAAACATGGTATTTTAATTTCTTTTGCTGGTTGGAGACAGTTTTAATAGGTGTTTATAATATGTGTAAATACCATTCAGTGTTAAAAGCAATACACGATGTAAAGTGTGAAGAAACAGGGGAAGATATTTTGGTGTTTTAAAATGCAACGAGATACTGATAGTATAATCACATTAATCAGAAAGATTGAAAATGTAACTGTCAAGCAAGATGAGTGTTCTTGGTATCACAAAGGAAAAAGGAAGGGAAATCAAAGTGAGATATGTAGGGATGAAGCAAGCCATAGAGCCATCTGCTGTGTACTAGGGAACAGCTCACCCTGGTCAACTCAAGCTGTTTCAACATGCTGAACAAAGGGGGGAAGAACCAATCAAAAGGAAAGTAACAAAGCAAAATACCCTTGCTGAAAATTTAATAAGAGCAAAACAGGAAGGAAGGAAAGAAGTTTAATTCTAGTGATGTGAATTGCACTTACTTGACCAATGGTCCCAGCAGGTACCAATGGTGCCACTTAAACCATTCAGATTAGTCTCCAGCTTTAATTCTTTAAAACAGGGAGGAGCTATCAAGAGGTATGGGGGGTGGGTTCTGAGTGGGTCTGTGGGTCTATGTATGTATGTATCTATGTGTCTGTCTATGTATGTATATATGTATGTGTGTGTGTGTGTTTACTGAAATTCTGCTAGACAGGAAATGGCTCTCGTTTTTTACTTCTTTATTTTCTACTATTTTGGATTTCATAAAATTTTCAGTTTAGTGAATTTCAGTGAAAGAATTTCATTCATTATTTCAATTATTCAGTCTAACTGGAGATTGTTCACTTTCATTCACTTTCTTCCTATTTGAATGTCTTAGGCTTTAAACAAGGTGGGGAGAAAGTTATTTGCAATTGCCATTCTAAAATACCTTCAAGTGCAGTCAAGAGGAAGGATCCACTGGCACCGAAATGGAAAGTACTTTGGAATCAAAGGAAAGAAATGTTTTGGTATATTCAGTCCATCCTGTGGGTCCTCTGCAGATGGTAGTGTTCTTATTGTCACTGTGGCAACAACTTTTTTTGCCATGCAACTTCAGAGAGAGTTAAGACAAAGCAAAACCAATTTGGCCTAAGATGAAAATATCAATATATTCTTGTGTCCAAGAGTCTGTTGTCAAGCTGGGCCTTCTATAACAGACAACGTTTTCCTTCAGATGGTACCATAAGATTCCTGGCTACAATCTAATTAATCAGTTTTTTCATAGTACTCTAAGCTTGAAATTTGCCAAACCTAGTCTCTCCAAACTCCTTACCTATATATGTAAAGGGTAGGAAAAAAAATTAAAACCAACGTAAAGAAAATAAATTAGTGGTTTAGGCTGTGGCTTTAGCTCACTGACAGAGCACTTGTCTAGCATGTGTGATGCCCTGGCTTCCATCTCTAATATCTTTCCAAATAAAATTTCTTTAAAAGGGAATAAATAAATCGTTCAATTATAACATGACTCAATGAAAACCAAAACTTCACTTAGCATCACAATTCAATCATCTTGATATTGGGGGGAAAAGCAATAAAGCATATAAAAACCAGAATAATAATTACATATATGCATATTTTCATTCCACTTTTGTATTAAATTTCTCAAGAACTATAAATATGCACATAATAATATGATGAACACATGAAATTAGATTATCCTATGAAAGGAATAATCATTTTTATGAACCTGACAAAAACACTGTTAAGTATAGGCAATTTCAAACATTCTGTTCTGCCTTGTATTGTAAAACAAAAAACACAGAGCTTATCATTTGACAATAGTTAGTGAGGAAGAAAGTATATTTCTAATACTTATAAAACAAAACCCTAATGGCAAGGAGGTTTGGTCTGGGGACAAATGCAGCAGACAAGATTACCATGTTGCTCCTCTATCCTCTCAGGCTCTAGCATAAAGAACAATCAATTAGCCTTCAACAGACTATGGCCTTGAAGGCTACAGCCCTAACCATGATATACAGAATAAACTGAGACAGAAAGAAAACTGGAAGGGAGCATAAAGTCCTGAGCCCACTGCAAAGTACACTTCAACCATGAGACTGTCACTTAAAAATATAAGCCATGACAGTTTAGCTCACATCAAAAACAGGGACAAGGAAAAGAAAGTCCTACTTCTTTCTGTCACTGAACAATGCTTGCTTAGATGAAAAGAAAAGAATATAAAAAGAATAGACTACAAAATCTCTAAGCTTTTTTCCTCTGTCTTTTCCATTATTTAATAGTTACAATCTTTTAACAACAAAAATAACTGTTAATAAGCCTCTTGCTATTCCCTTCCCATCATAAATACAATTGTTTTACACATTTTCATTATATTTTGAGCTACTAGTCCAAAAAATGAACAGTGTGTTACACAGGATGCTACTACTGTACCTCTAACTTTTCAGGAGCAAAGCACTTCCCGACTGCTTATCTCCAATGCACGGGAAAATGCTGCAGCTTTGTTGCTGGCCAGAACTGGGCACTGAGATGCTTTTAGGCAGCAGTAAATCTTTTCCACTTATTACTAATGCCACAAAATCAATTCCTGGCTTGAAAAAAAGTGGGGGGAAAAGAAAAGAAAAGAATAAAAGACATCTATTTGGAATGCATAGTCTTATTAAAACCCTTAGTAGAAGAATTTCCTTTAAAAAAAATACTTAGAATTTCACTACTACTTTTAATTTTTTTAGCAAAATGTGCTACATGTTTCTTTGTTTGCTTGACTTGATCAGATTAAGAAAATTATAGCATGTAGCTACAATTTTTTTAAGAGCCATCTTTCTTTACTGACTAATTCAAACTACCAAGACACATTTTAATTAAAGGTAAGTGTAAACTGGTAAAGACAAAGAAGTAGTCTTGTCTTCATTGGTGCACTCTGTTTCTCTGTATCTGCAGGGTATGCACTTGCTTTTTATAGCCTATCATTTCATCTGGGTATTAGTTCCCGGTCACTTTGCCAGGTGGGAAGAGGCAGCGAATGCAGTTTGCCTGTCAGACCTTAATGATGCATCAGGGATTTGATAAAGATACAAACCAGTGTCTGCATAAAGACCGTTTTCCTAATTGCAACTGCAAAAACAAACCTCTTTTTAAAATCTGTGTACTGAAACTGGTGTGTGTGTGTGTGTGTGTGTGTGTGTGTGTGTGTGTGTGTGTGTGTGTGTGTGTGTGTGTGTGTGTGTGTGTGTATGCAAAGATCTTGAAACCCAAACGTAAGTTTTTTTTGTATTGTTTTATACTGAGCTACCACATACTGAACATAAATGTCTACAGGATGTCATCTTTATTCTTTATCATGGTCTAGAAGGAAACTGAAGGGGTATTTCATTACAGTTTCCCCACCTCCAACTGTTTTAACTCTAAGATTTTACATACAGTATTAAGAATCTGATTATCTTGTCTTTTACTTTTTTCTACTAAGTCAATACTCATCAGTGGTAAGGAGCACCAGAAGACAGTGAAAATAAAAATCAACTACAAACAAGTTAAGAAAGAGCCATAAAAACTCCTTGTTAGAATTCTACACTGACACTTGGAACAATCTGACGAGTCATGGTTTCATTCCTGTCAACTTTCCAATCTAAAACAATTGCATTGACTCAGTGCACAGGGCAATTCAGAGTTCTGTGTTGTTTTAAGAGCTTGGAGTCTCTTCATTCACGGGCTATTAAACTGGGCTTCGGCTACCTGACTGGCTAAAGTGACACATCTTAAAACCAATGCAGTACCTTCCTAATGGATCTCGTACTTTTTAAATGACTGGCAAAGAAGCTATTTAAACATATGATTACAGAAGACCAACTAATTTGGGAAAACCCCTTTGTGCAGAATTGTAGAATGTTTTAAACAAAATAAATTGCCCCTAATCAGTGCTCAGTGCTCAACAGTATAACAGGAGAAGGACAGCAAGAGTCACAAGCTAAGGAAAGGAAAGGTCACTCACTGTAAATGTCTCAGAACCTGCTGTAATTATAGGGAGGCATGAAAAAAAAAACAAAGATGGGGAGAAATGATAAAGAAACAGGAAGAAAAGATGGAGAAAGATGATGTCAACTTGGGGCTTCTGGGAGATACAGATGAACCAAAATGCAACCCAAAGTCTCTAGTGAGAAAAAGAAAGAAATTATACTCAATGGCATAGAAAAGTAGCATTTTTGCTAATTTATTTTAAAGAGTTTTTTTCTCATGTTAAAGATAAACAGATGCACTGAAATTCAAGGATGACTTGCACTGAAATTCAAGGATGACTTGCAGGCTGAAGTTTGGGATCCTCCACCCCACATTTAACAAGCTGTTTTAAAGGAGCTGCTGTTAAAAGACTGATTCATACTAGGAGTTCACATGATTTCTTTTTTCTTTTTTTTTTAACTTGTCTCTTCAATGACACCCTAAGCATCTCGGTCATGTGATCTGCTCAAACAAAACCATGCAATTAAAGCACAAGAAGGAAAGCAGCAGCTTAACACCCTAGAGAATACCTTTGGGGAGCTCAAGCCCACCCTTTCATTCACTCAATGTCATCATCATCTCTCTCTCTCTCTACTTACAAAGTTTAGGAGCAGTTTGGAGATTAGTTTCTGTTGTTTGTGGCTGAGTTGCTGACTTGGGTGTTCTCACCTCAGGGTTCCGAGTGGCTGAAGGGAAGAAAGGTGAAGTAGAAGGCCGGAAAGAAAAGGCAAAAATGCGATGCTTGAGGGTTGGTGCTGCTGCAGATTCAGAGGATACAGCAGTATTGTCAACTTGCAGTGTAACTTGAACCTCAGTTTCAGATTGAACCCTAGAGACAGGTGAAGTGTACGTCTCAGATGATACCCACACCGCTGAGGAAGCAGTTGGATCCCGAGCAGTCACAGGGTCCTGGCCTAACCCTCCAGGGTCAAGGTGAGTAGGAGAGTCATACTCAAATATCTTGTCCACAAACACCCACTTGAGGCCAGCAATGCAGAGGCAGAGGCTGACGAGGCAAGCCAGAATGGGGACAATGCAGATCTTCTCTGAGTTGAGGCAACCTCTCAGGCGCTCCGCTTCCAGGCACACACAGCAGGGCCCAGCCAGGCCCACGAGTCCAGAGCTTCTCCCATCTTCTGTCTGGGTCTCTGGCATGTCTTCAGCTGCCGGAAGCCCATCAAGAGATGGGTCTTCACTTAGCTGAATGGAGGGACTGGAGGACCTCTGGCCATCTACCTCAGACATGTCTGGGGAATAAATCTCCATCGGCTCACCTCCAGAAGGTCTGGCCTCTCTGGCAGTCCATTACCATGCAGAGCTCCCCCCAACCAAATGATACAGCATCTTACAGGGGGAAATCGATAAGTCCGCCAAGTCCAAGGCCATTATCAAAAAAGCAAGAGGAGTCCAGGAGGAAGAAGAAGAGAGAAAGAAAGAAAGAAAAACAGAAAAGAAAAGCAAGAGAAAGCTTCGAGCAACTACAAAATCAAAGTAGATCGTAATAATTCTTTAGTTGTTCTTTCTGGGCCACTTTTTTTTTTTCCAGTTCTTTTAAATGCTGCTCCAAACCATCCCGGTTGGTTAAGAAGACAAGCAGGGTGGGAGCTAAACTAGAATCGGAGCGGATGGCTGGTTAATTAAGTAAACCAGTAGCCCAAGCTGAAGGGCATGTTGCTCACCTCAAGCATCTGAAGCTGGTGTCTGCTGAGATGAAGAAAACAACTGTCATGCAGAAGAAGTAAAAGCAAAAGCAGGACCAGCGGCGGCGGCGGCGGCGGGAGCAGCGGCGGAGGCAGGAGAGGCAGCAGAGACAGTAGCAACAGCATCCTGTTGTGTGATAGCGCTGGCTGAAAGAGGCTGAATCATTACAGAGCAGCAGGTGCCTGTCCTCCGAGCATCTCTGCAAACAGTACCAGCACCCAGGGAGGGATCTGAGCGCAGCGTGCGGCCGGGAGGGGCGGTAACTCCCTTCCCCGCCCAGCCTCCACCCCCACCCCCAACCACTCCTCTTTGTCCTTTCGGAGCCTCAGTCACTTTCTTCCTTCGCAGTCTTCCTTCTTCGCAGTCTCTTTCTCCTGCTTCCCCATCTCCATCCCAAACACATCCCCCCGCCCCCGTCCCGACTCTTTTTCTCTCTCTTCTCCTTCCTCTCCCAGCCCCCACCCTCTCTGTCCCCACTCTAAGCTGCTGTCTGGTCTGAGTGAAATCCTTTAGTGTGCACCCAGCAACACAGGACTGCCAGGGACTTCCTATTTTATCCAATTAGAAGGAATAAAGGCCATCAAATCAAAGAGAAGCAGGCAGGCACCAGTGAAGCTGGGTCCCCATGGCCCCCACCCCCCTTTTCTTCGACAATAAGCCACCCCAGTCCCCCCCACCCTACCTCCCGACTCCCCCACCTTGCTAGCTTTCAGTCTTGCTGGCTCTCTCTTTCCTTCACCCACTGTGGGGGTCAGAAAAAGCTCAGCGATCGATGGCAATCTAACAAAACTGTGATGGGGGGTGGGGGTGGAGGGCTGTAGGTGGGATCTTCTGGGTTGGACCTGAGGCTTGGCAAAGTCTGATATCTGATTCCTCCCTAGAGAGGTAAGCCTTTCAACAGCAATTTCTTCCTCCCTAGCTAGCCCTCTAATAAGTTTTGTTCACCGACAGGACTGTTATTAGTTGATTTGCAACCAACAGTTAGAACACTGTTTTCCAACCATGGACAGCTCTGTCTCTAGCCCCTTCTGTGGTGAGTGTGTAAGATTCTGTTGGAAGAAGGAAATAGTGGGGCAGGGAAGAGACACCCGCACATTCCTGACCTTTCAAGGTCTAACTCCCTTGTCCCACCTTGAACACACCAGACCAATGTCAAGGTGTCAGGATCTGTGTAAATAACAGAGTTGTGTGAAGGGAGCAAAAAAGAAACTACACTTTTTAAGTTAGCTTTTCATTGTGACTCCACACTGCAGAGGTTTGAATTCTCTGGACACGGTAATGTGTGCCACATGCCCTCAGCTAAAAAATCGCACTGCATGTATTAAGAAGAGTTTTCTATGAGAGTGTGCTTTGGGGTTAGGTTTCAGTAGCTTTACCATACAGACAGTCTCCAGGCTGATTTTTTTTTCTTTAAAAAAAAAAAAACAGCAGTCTTTAAAGGACTAGAAGAATCTCGCTGTTCTAAAAGAGGTCATGGACTCCTGGGAAGTGTCTGTCGCGTGGCAGAGTGTACTCTGTGTATCTGAACCTTTAATCCACACTTCACTGTGATTAGACACCCAAATGGTTTCTGAGGAACCATTCTGTTCACCGATGTCAATAGGAGTCTTAAAAACTCTCTGTAAATCTATACTACAGATCCATCCTAAGGAGTCCCAGAGTAGTAAAATTTAGAGCCCAAGTCTAGAGAAAATCTGCTTTAAGCATGTGATATTTTGTACAGCACAATCTCCACTGCTTTGAAATATATTTAAGCTTTAAGTGGTAGGAGGTAAGCATATCATCATTTCCTTCCAGATGAAATTACTCCATAATTATAAATTATTTAATGGATATTAACATCTTAAACTATGTTTTCAGTACTACCACTATCAACAACAAAAGCAAAGGGCCATTTTGCATAATTATAACCATGACAATGACAAACTTATGGGTAAAATGGATTACCTTTTTAAAGTTCACCTATATATAACCCACAAGTATATACCAGTAACCAGTATTTTTAAATAATTTGTATGCTTATTTCCTAGCTTCATCTATTCGATTTCAAAGCAATGAGAGCTCTCTTAACAAAGATTCTAGTGATGGACATGAAATTTTACAGGGTAGGAAATTTACTAAAGCACTGAATATTTCTTAAAACCTTCATTACCAATATAATTGAAATATCTTAAAGTGATATAACAGGTAAGTGGTTATGATCAATTACAGTGAGTTACAATTTTTTCCAAGATCTCTCAGTTTAAACATCCTGCATTGAATTTTTAGTTCTGCCCCAATATATTATATCCAAATCTAATTACACTGACATTTCATCCATGGCCGAGTTCATCTAGATATCAGACCAAAATGGGACTCAAGTGGCCCCACATCAGATAGGAAAAAATGCCACAAACAATAACTAGTTTTGAAAAGGGGTAGTTAACTGTACCAGTAGCAATTACTTCATGTAATATCAAATATACACAGCGACAAAAATAAGTTACTAGACACCACACTAGTTGTCATACTAAAATCTCTCAATATGTACGAAGAAGAAAAATATATTATTATTTGAAGGCTAGGACAACAGAATCCTACCAGCTGACACAGCTACTCTTTGCCCTAGAACACACATATCAGACACTGGGCTATGTATGTTTCCTCCCTGGAAATGTATTCCATGAATTTCTACAAAATTGCTTTCTGCACTAAATTGGCAGATGGATGTAATTGGGGGAAAGGAGTAGGAAAGGGCTGGGGAATAAAAAGAATGCTCCATTAGTTCTGCCCTGGGGACTAAGAGTCAGAAGTTGACTTTATCCCTTCATCAAATCCTCTGTAGCAATAAAAGCATAAGGAAAGGTAGTGTACACAGGGTTGAAGGTCAGGATTTCCTTGGGATGAAAAACACACCTTTACAGAAAGGCATGCATGACTAGGAAGAGCGGTAAGAACATATCCTTTTTAATCTTGTAAGTAATACCTTAACAAAATCCAGCAACACTGGAACACCTACATTTCTGTGCCCTCTTAGAAGCCTAAGACATTTACTAACTATCTTACTACCTTTTAAATGCCCACATTCCCACTTGGTTTGTAACAATAAATGCTCCATTTATTGAGTTCTACCAATACACAAAGCACTCTGCTAATAAATTCATTGCACACATTGTTTCTTTTTTTGTGTGTTTTCAATATATCTTTATGAGACTCATCTCCTCCATCTCTCTTACACATCCACAGTCTTTTCTCAAATCAACATCAACATGCTTTGTTGTTCCTTTTTCACACGTATAAAAAAACTACCTATTTTGAACATGTTTGCCCACCTTTGCCCTCTGTTTGTCCTTCTTACTTCCATTAAAACGCACAGCTATGATAGTGGCTGTTTTGCATTCCTATCTCTCATTTTAATTAAACTGCATGACAATAGTATTTAAGAGATTTCAGCACAAAATTTTACGAAGTTTTACATATTGAGTAATTTTAATCATATTGATGGCCTCACTCTCTCTTAGCCCATCTAGCCTATTCCTCCATATTCAACAGATTTCGGTGAGTTTCCTTTTGTCACCAGTGCCATTCACAGATGCCAAATAACATTTATTTATCCTTGCCCGGTCCTACTTATCCCCTCAAAAATTCCCCAGTATACAGACATATTCTATAAATGTATGTATATATGATCCTGTATGTGTTTATATATGTTTATCTTTTAGATTGGGCATTTACATATTACAGCACACATGATTTCTAATCTTCACCAATCCTGTATAGTCCATATGACCTTGGAAATGAAGACATATAGGCTTAGGCAACTTGTTGTAGACTAAATCATTAAATGATACAGCCAAGATATGAAACAGGCCTAACTCATGCCATTTTTTTTGGGAAATTAAAATTTTTTAAAAGCTTTGTTTTAGTCAAAAGATTACGTCTGCAAGGCAGATCTAAGGCATGTGATCTGACTCAGTGTGCTTCACACGTCTAGATAGTGCTCTACCATTTCAACCATGCCCTCACTCATATATTTTTACATAACAGTTCAATGGAGAAAACAGGAAAACCACAAAACAATAAAAATGGGATTATTAGCCTATAGTTAACTTAGGGCACCCAGTTTCCAAATTAACTCCAAATTTTGTAATTCTTGTTTTTGCTATAATTCTGCCTATGATTCTGAGCAGGGGAGTTATAAGGACTAAATATAATCCATCCAAATTAGTAGCTATTTATAGTTTAAATCAAATCAGCTATTCTAGGGTTCTTCTTGGGGTCTATTTCAATTATTTTTGTGAAGTAAATGGCCCTATAATAGCTTAAAGCAACAACCACTTTTATTGGGTCTTCCTAGGCTTTAGACCTACAGGGCTATAAGGCAGAGTAGGCCTTCTGCACCATTTCATGCCAGCTGGGGTTGCAATCAGCTGGAAGGGCAATCGGGCTGAAATATTTAAGATGATTCACACATATGGCCAGCAGATGAAGCCAGATGTCAGGTGCAAGTTCAACAGGGGTGTCAAATGGTACGCAAACATGTGGCCTCTCTGTGTGGTTTGAGTTCTCATAGCAAGGGGGCTGGTTCTAAGAAGAAGCATCTATCTCCAGAGATCAGAAATAGAAGCTGCTAGTCCTATCTGGCCATGGTTCTATTGCACCCTACTAGCTAAATAGTCACAGAGTCAGTCCAGATTCAGGACAGAAGTGATAAGACTTGATCAAGAAAATGACAAATTGTTTGCTGTCATAATTAACTTACCACTGCAGGTAAGGAAGTAAATGTTAGTAAGTCACTTTGGATGAAGAGGAGACACAATAATACAGAATGGCTCTGGCAGAACCAAGTCAAATACACTATTTCTGATCCACTTTTTTAATATTGTAGCATTCTTCTAATCTAGCTTTAGTGAAAAGTGTATCTCACATTGTCAAATAAAAATACTTAAATTTCTCTGTCACCTCAGCTCAAGCCAGGCTGCTTACTGCTGCATTTCTTTCAGTTATTTTATCATCAGAAGACATAACATAGATCCAACCAACAAATATGGATTAAAAAGTGTTCATTTGCAAAAAAAAAAAAATGTTCATTTGCTTTTGACTGTATTACTCCAACTTCTCACATCTTTTACTTTTATATCTGTATTTTGTTATCTGAAAAAGTTTATACTTTCTCCTAAATGTTATAGCTGAGAAGAGGAGAATTCACTTCTTAATATATAAGATAGACT